AGGACCACCTTAAATAATGCCAGACACCAGAGTGAAAAAAAAATTAAATTAAGAGAGAGAGAGAGGGAGAAAGAGAGAGGGAGAGACTTAAAAAGCAGCAGCCTGAACTGAATCTTGGGGAAGCAGCTCGGAATATATTATTGTACTTGTTTTTCTGTAATACTAAGCCAAGCAAATAGATCAAAGACAGCACAAAGGGGAAAGGCAGGATAACGTAACGAACAGTTTCTGACTAAAATTCCTCTATCACTCCCCCATATGGTTCAACACCTCCACCACAACAAGCAAAAGACACACACACGCACACACACGCGTACACACACAAAACCTAGACACACACACACAGAGACAGAGAGAGAGAGAGAGAGAGAGAGGGGGAGAGAGAGAGAGAGAGAGAGAGAAGCATCATTTGTCTCTAATCAAAATTCTCTCGTCTTTGTGTTTTGCTCCTTCCAGCACCTCACACTGCGCCCCCAGCCGCCCCCTCCCCGCGCCGCGCAGCTCTGGGGCAGGCCGGGGGCGCGCACAATTGTCTTCTCTAGAGGAAAGTTGCTCCAAGTGGGCCCGGGCGGTCCCCGAGAGGCGCGGGCTGGGGCTGCGGAGGCCGGGAGGCCGGGTGGGCGCTGCGTCCCCGCGCCTGCCTCGGGAGCGTCTACGCGGCCCGGCACCGGGTGATCAGGCGAGAGCGAGGGGAGCGAGAAGTTTCCTTTCCGAGTCTGGGCTGGCGCTCGTTCGCTTGTTTGTTTTCGGGGGTTGGTTTCTTTCTTTTTAAACTCAGTTATCCTCCGTCAGCTCCCCCACCCCCACCCCCGGCACCCTCGCTAGTCCCCAGCCCTCTCCCCTCCCCCAGGCGCCTTCCGCGGTCTTGCCAATCACTTTTCTCTTTTATTCCCACGATTTTGTTTGGGGTAATACCTAGGGGGTCTCTCTCTCTCACTCTCTTCCTCTCTCTCTGTTTCTCTCTCTCCCCCCTCGTCCCTTCTCTGGCTCTCTCCAAGATAGACCTACCAAACTGTCACCCCCCCCTTAATATCCCACCTCTGATCGCGTGTGCCCCTCGAACCCCCATCTCCTTCCTCCTTCCTGACTCAGCCTGGATAACGGGCTCCTCCAGACCATGTAGAAACTGCCGGGAAAAGTCTCACTGCGCCCTGTGACTCCTTGAGTCCCCGGCCGGGGGACCAGAGCCTGCTGGAGAGGAGTCATCCGTCCCCGAGCCATCACCGACCCCACCGGACCCCGCGCGGGGCCGGCCGACTCCCTCCCACCCCGGGGTCTGGGCGCGATGGGCCGGGCCCCGCTGCCCGCAGACCGTTACTTGGCGCACGGAGAGGCGGCCGGGCGACTCCGGCAAGAAACTTTAAGCCTCGCTGAGGCGCAGCCCCAGTTACCCTCTCCTGCCTTCGCAGTCTCTCTGCCACCCCCGCCCCCGCCCCGGGATCCTGCGCGACCCAGTGCCTGGGCCCCCGCCCTGCCCTAGCCGGACGCTCCCGAAGCCCGGCTGGAAACCCGGCGGGCCGGGCGCGAGCGGAGCGGGAGGCGGAGGCGGAGGGAGGGCGGAGGCAGGGGCTTGAGGGGGTCAGAAGGGTTGGGGGTGCGGGGCCCCGACCGGACCCCCCGCGCTCGGAACCCCCGGGCGCCTGACGCTCACTTTGCCCGGCACTTCCCCAACTCCCCCCGGTCCAGCAGCCGCGCGCGCCGGGCTCCGGCGCCGGCCGCGGAGGGAGGCTCGCCCTCGAGCCCTGGGCGCCGCCGCCGCCGCCGCCTCGGTTCCTTTTCCCTTTCCCCCTCCTTCTCCCTGGGTCTCGAGCCGCGGAGTGGCCCGGAAAAGTTTGGTTCGGGCCGCTTCTTACCGTTTTTCCTCCTGGGATTGGCTTGTTTGCGCCTCTTGCACCGGGGGCCATCCGCCATGATCGGCTGCTTCATTGATAAGAGCGGATCAGATGGCAGTTCGCATGGACTCGGCGCCCTGCTTCGGCAGCACGCAGGCTCGATCTAGCAACCAAACACAGCGACAATGTGGGCATCGCCCGCGCCCATTGAAACGCGCGCGGGCCGCCCAGGGGAGCCGGGCCAGGGCCCCGGCGAGCACCCATCCGCGCCCCCCAACGCCAAAGCGAAACTTCGGCGGCCCCCTCCCCGCCCCCCACCCCCAGCCTTGGCCCCGAGGCGCTTTGTGTTTGTTACTGTTTGGTGTGTTGCACCCGCGAGGGGATCAGAGAGACAAGAATTACATCTTCAAAATGAGTCATAACTCCTGACCGTATGAGGGAATGCACACGGCGGTACAGTAAGACCGCTTGACTCAGGGCTAGGCGGACCCTTTCCTCCGAAAAGTCCTCAGCCCCCGGCTCGGGAACTTGGGGTGAGGCGAGGTTTTCTTTTCACTCTCATCTTTTCTCATCCCCCCCCACACACCCCCCATTTCCCAGAGGAAACAAACAAACAAACAACTCGAAACAGCCCCTGGATGAAGCACACTCGGGCAAATTGATAATAGTAATTATAGGAAGCCCACTCGCCCAGCGCCCCCTCCCCTCCCCTTTTGGAGTTTATCGAGGCACTGTCTCTTCCTCCCCCCACCCTCGCCCCCAAATTAAGATTTCCCGTTTTACGCCGCAATAAGAAATATAATTACAAGCCTCTTTGGACACTGTCCTTTACCCCACCCCCCCTCGCCACTTTGACAATATTTACAGTATTTCCCCCCACTTCACTCACACACATGCTCCCCCACACTGGTTCCCTGAAATAGTTCCAGTAGATTTTTTTTCCCCCTTAAGAAAGGAAAGAGAAAGTCCAACCACTACGGCAATACTTTTAAGCTCTACTAAATGATCGTATCCTTTCTGGCTTCGAAACTTTTGTACCTAAAAATCGAGAGAGGCGCTGCATTTTTTCAGCTGAAACTGTCAAAACTTGGAGAAGGGGAACCTCGGAGGCAGGCAGGAGAGGAGGAGAATCCTGAAAACTCTGTGGAGGTTGGGAAGATGCTGTGCCTCGAGGATTAGTTTAAACAGGGGGCTATAAAAGATGTAACAGATGCAAACTGTAACACAAGGGCCATTAACCCTTTCTCTGCCGGGCACACTCAGTCCCCACGCCCCGCACCTATTGTCTCCTGTGCTAGAAGCTTTGCAGAAAACCTGGAAAGTGAGTATCAGTTTCCACACATTTGCTGAGAAGGGTGAAGGGAGGGGGGCAGAGAGAAGGGGAAGTGGATATTTTAGAAAGCACCTTAAATTTACGTAGGCATACATAGTAGGAGACTTTTAAGTTTGACACATTTTATCATTTCTTTCCTTGCCCTATTGATTTGAAATTGTTAGGGGAAATCCTGAAATAAAGAAATGGTCACACAAGTGTCTGGGATGAAACAGCTGGCCTGTCTATATTCATCCTGAGACACACGACTGCATATAAATACATGTTTAATAAAGTAAGTTGCTAGTTTTATGGGCATGTGTGTGTAAAAGAGACAGGGCTTTTGTGCTGTAAACTTTATCTTTGCCTGTTACTCCTAAGTCTGGAGTTAGTAATCTTGCCTTCATCATTACAGGGGGAGCATGTAAAATATATCAGTAGGTGGGAGATAAACACATTCATGTTAGCCGGGCTCATCACTGTTCCTGGGAACTCCTGCTATCTCTCTCTCGACTTTTCAGTGCCAAAGTATAGAATGGGATATATGTGTGTATGTGTCTTCTATTAAATCCATGACTATATTACTTTGCCATTTAAAATACAATTTTAAAAGTTATCCTAATTTAAAACCCTGATATCCTGACAGCAGTTTTCTTCCCAGCTGTAGTGCCCCCCCTCCACTTTGGTAAACGACTCAAGTTCCATGAGGACTTTCACTTCTTTATTTATAATCACAGAAGTGAGGTGTTACTTCACACACATACACACACAAAGAATGAAATAAAGAAATGAAACTCGCTAAGCAGACAAAAACAGACAACTTTCTGCTTAGAAAACAGCCTTCTCGGTGGGAGAGGATGAACTGCCATGTCTAAGAGAAAGACTTGCCCCCGAATTTGTAGGTCTGAAACTGACCAAGTTTTGTAATTATTAACAGGTATTTGCCAAGTCCTAATTGCTAAATATAATGAATTGGAACTAGATGCGAAAATAGAGCAGGACCTCTCCCCTTGATGAGTTTTTATTCCAGCCATATAATTCTCAATAAAACTTTTCCTGGGCTGAGTAGCAAAGGGCACCTTAGGTTACCTGAATGGACAGGTACAGGGGAAATTATTTGGGGGAGGGAAAAAGGAGAGAAAAGCAAGGAGAGAAAGTGTGAGTGTAAGTGTAAGAGAAAGCGAAGAAGACACTCTTGAGAAAAGCTTGCCACAAAGAAGCTAAACCCACCTGAAATTCATACCCACGGACACCCCTTCTCACTTCAGACTCACATCCCCACTCAAAATGAGAAAATTAGAAAAGGAGGATGGAGGACGAGCACACCAAAAAGGGATAAAAAGAGAGAAAAGGGGAGGAAAAAAAACCTACCTGCGAAGTCTTGTTTGTAGTTTTGGCCAGAAATGGTGAGAAGAAAAAGCATGAAGAAGCCGCGAAGTGTGGGGGAGAAAAAAGGTGGAAGCGAAGAAACAGCTCCCGGAGCAAACTGTACAAAAACCTCGCCAAGAGTGTCGGGAGGCAGGACCGTTATTCCTGCGGAGCAGGTTAGAACTGATCTCTTTCGGCCACTCCAGGAAACACAAACCTGGGGACGGACTGACGTGTTACGCCTCTTCTAATGACATTTTTTTCTTTTTCTTTTCTGTAGGAGAGAGACGAGAGACCCTGAAACACGCGCCACCTATCTTTGTGGGGAGGGATAATTGAAGCGCCCTGAGCGTGAGCATCATGTGAAAACGTGATCGCCAAGTTTCTCTCTGGGAAAGGATCTGGGATAGATTATACCTTGAAGTCTCCGCAAACGCTTTAGTGGAAGAAATGAAATTCCACCTCCCTCCCTTCCTCCTCTCCCTCCCTTTCGCCTTCGCCTCCCTCCCCCCTCCCTCCCTTCTCCCCCCCCTCCCCCCGCCCGTCAAGCCTTTGGCATCATTATCCTCATCACTAAATCCTACAGAGTACAGGGCGGAAAACGGTGCACACCATTCACAGAACTGGAGAACTCCAAGGGGCGAAAGTTAAAGGGAAAGATCCCGGGTCCTCAGTCCAGATCATCTCTTCTTATACAGATATCTCTAATGACCAGATTTGAGATGCACATCAAATTGTGTAGCTATCTCAGTACAGCTTCTGGAACAAAATTCACTGCCCTTTCCATTATTATTATTTTTTTCTTTTTAGGTACCAGAGCCAGAAAAAAAAAAAAAGTGCTTCATGAGAGCTGCATCTTAGGGCATGTGTGTTAGGGTGTGTGCATGATGAATTTCTGGTCTGGATCCCAATATTAAAAAGTAGTTTGGCATTTTAATAAAGGGTTTCTAAGTAAATTAACATAGAACACTCGGTTGGCCGATCTCTGAATCTCTCTACACCTCGGGGAGACCTCACTACAAAGTAAGGGAGAATGTGTAGGGAGGCAGGAGGAGAAAAGAGAAAGGCCATAGAGAAACTTAGCAGGGAAGGGAGAACATGATATTAAACGGCATGGGGTCTAAGTTTTGGAGTATATATTTTTTGATATTACAATTAAAGTAAAATTAAAAAGAAAAGACTCCACCTTTGCTCTGAAGGGATTGGTTATGCAAATATGGAAGGGATTTCCTGGAGAATACAGCTTTCTACTGTATGGTTAATTAAATAATCACTCAAAAGCTTCCAACGTGACGCTTCTGTCGTAATCCAATCAGGTTACATAGGTCCTAAACAAGAAAGATATTTTCCACATCTGGAAGTCAGCAATTTAGCAAGTACTGCACATTATTAACCAATTCAGAGCCCACTTCCCAGGGGAATTTTTTTGAAGTTTAAGTGTTCTTAACCAATGCTCTGCTGTTTTGTTAATCAAAAAGCTGGTTTACACTGCACATAATTGGAACTAATATAGAAGTAAATAAAGACAGCCAAATTTGAGGATGCTGAGCACAGGCATTTATCGGAAAAGGAAGAAATCTCCTATCTTCGGATGGTTCAGGCTCAATTTCTTAAATAACTGTGAGACTTTTTTTTTTTTTTCCCCCTAAAGAGTGAAAGTGCTTGAGAACCTCAGAGCACAAATAAACTTCTAGTCTCACAGCATTTAGAATCCTTCGGAAAGGTAAAGGTGGAGGTGTTAAGAGGACCAGAGAGCTGCCTCACACCACTTTTTAAGCTTTAATATTGTTAAATATGTTACACCCTCCTGTTTCCAGTCTGATGAAATCTGAAACAAATAATACCCTGATCCAACACTATATTAAGATAAACTGCTTTGAACTGTGCTTTGAATGTGTGCCTAAAGCAAGGCTTTGAATGCAAGAGTCACTGGCAATTGCACTCAAAGGAGGGACAAGCCACCACATGGGTTGCCACATCACACTCCCAGAGGTACACGTCTTTGTATTTTGTATTTTTTTTTTTGCGGGGGCGGGGGAGGGGTTAATAGCTACCTAGCACGACCACAGCTAGATCTTGTTCTAGGATGCAAGAAAGTAGATTTTCACAGTTGGTTACAGACTCACCTCTTTCCTAACTTAAGTATTTACTATAATGAAAATAGCTACTGGATAAATTAACTCTCTCCCCCCACCCCATCACAGATAAAGTGTCTATAGAAGAAAGGCATTCAGGATCTTCAGCTTAAAAATTATTAATAAATAAAATCAAAGATTTTCAACATGGGTCAGGCATATTCTTAATTTTATATTTTACATTTCTTTCATTATTATATCTCTATACTAAATATATGTGTGACTTATCAAGTTCCTCTTCTGAGATTTAAGCACCACTGCTCATGTCCATTTTTCTTCCTCCTCCTTTTTTTCCTCTTTTTTAATTTAAAAGATTGGAGTCCAGCTTTCTCTAGAAGCTTGCTTTACAGCCACCCCTCTCCCACTCCTAAGGAAGAAGGAACCCTTTGAATATAGAGTGGTTCCAGGCAAGACTCCTTTTCAGGCACCCAGGTAGCCATTGGAGGCTTGCAGCCCAGACACACACACAAGCATAACCTCAGGTCAAAGGATCCAATCGAATAGCTAACAAAACACTTGTCTTTATTATGTATATTAAATGTCAGATTACTTAGGATCTGACTGAAAAAAAAAAAAAAAACCTAAGTATTTCCATTAAAAACACCTAATCATCTGATTACCCTGGACTCAGTAATCGTTCAAGTGGCAGGAGGCAGTCCCCAACATTTAGCACTGGGAGTTCCGACTGGCCAGTATTTAGTTTGGGGTGAAAAAGCAGTCTTCCAGGTTCCCATGAAGGTAGATGTTTGGATGGTGGCACGAGAGGGGTCTCCGCGAGGGGTGAGCGCTACGGCTAGGTTGCCTTGCCCTCGTTCCTGACTGGCACGCCCCTCCCCAGGCATTTGGCCGAGAGAGTTCCCAACGTGGCAGAGGTGATGGGGTCGGGAGGAAGCCGGAATATAAATTTGTTCCGAACACTCCCTCAGTCCGAGGGCCAGGTCGGGGACAATGGGGATCGTGGGATCAGGGGGATGCAGGAGCGCAGGACGCAGAGAAAAGTCGAGAGGACTGGGGGCTGCTGACTTTCGGCTCCTCACACAGCAAAATAAGTCCTGCAAATGAATCTCTCCTTCTCTGTCTTCCCCATTAATAATCCACTTCCAGATTAGCGCAGACGAAAGAGATTAAAACAACAGATACACGGAAATGTGAAATAATATTGCAATCAACATTGAAGGGGGAAAATAATTATTTAGGGTTTCCATGGGCAAAACAAACTGCCTCCCTCAGGATTCCCTCCACTCAGGCAGGGTGAGAAGGATGCACTTTTGTTTTCCAATTCCCTCCAGCCAGGACCTGGTGCCTGTCCCCCCATTCACCTCTCAGTCTGTCAATTTCCTCAACTTTCACAGCCGCTCCCCCCTCCCCCCGCTCAGCTTGGCGGCCCAGATGCCCGAAGAGATACAATGTTTCTGCCCTTGAACACACAGGCTGTAGAAGGAATTAGAATTTGGCCACAGTTAATGATTTTTTTTAAAGCAAATTCTGTTTATTTTGTACCATGTGGAGAAAATAAAAAAAGGAACCTATTCTCGTTTTGAAATGGAACTGATCTTTCATCTAGAGGAATTATTCGACCTTGTGTTGTGACTCAGGAGGTGGGCAACTTCTTTTGGAGTTGCAAGCAAAGGGTGATAAAGGGGACCCCTGGATTGGGTGTGTGTGGAGGGGGTGGGGGGCGGCAGGGGTCCAAGCCAAGCCAAACGGTTTTCTCACGTGCAGACTCGCAATCCAATCCATTCGGAGTTGAGCCTAGGATAGGAGGGGAAAGTCTATTAAAAAAAAAAAAAAAATTCAGGAGCATCTCTCTGAGAAGCCCTTTCAAACAAAACCAAAACAGGACCAGAGAAGCTCAGACCGTCCCTAACATCCCTGCTGCGAGACCCGCAGGCTGTGGAATCTCGCACGTCACCTGGCCCCAGCAGGGCGGCCAGCTGAGGGGTAGATTTTATTTTATTTTTTTGAAGTAAAGGCAGAGTCTCGGCTTCAGGGCTTTTGCCAACGTCTCCACTGACAGGAACCAGCAAACTTCAGGACCCAAATGAGCATCTTAATTTATTGATGCTAAACAGGTCTGGTTGTTGTCCCCAATTTTCCGCGCGCTCTGCCACCTCCCCCCCACCCCGCCCCAACCCCTGCCGCCAGCTTTGGTCCCTGCATTTGATCTCCAGGAAGGGCCCCGCTGCACAGGCGGAGGAACGCGTCGGGGTGGGGGGGGGGCGGTGTTCGGCCCCCTCCCACCAGACCGCCCTCCCCCAGACCTGTCCCCGCCCGGGATCCCGCGACCCCCGCCCGCCGCCCGGTCAGCTGACCTGGCTCGCTCGCCTGCTCCCCGCCCGCCGCCCTGTTTCCGGTCCCCGGGGTCCGCGAGCCGCGCTCCGAGCGGGCGCAGCCGCGGCCGGGAGGTGATGCTGGGGGCTGATTACCATGAGAAAGGCTGTGCCTGGAAAAGCCTCCTCCACGCGACTGTCAATCTCACTAAGGGAGGGGGGGTGCCGGAGGGTACGGAAAGGGGCCCCGTAGGAGTCACCAGAAAACTTAGAGTAAGTTGGATGCGACGCAGGCCCGAAGAGGTGGCTTTCGCCTCAACTTGGAAGGCTGGGGCGTTGAGGGCGCGGACGCCAGCAGCCTCACCAGGGAATTGAAAACCAAAAATCTCCCTCCTGCTTTTCCTCCCTCTGGCCCTCCTTTCAGCCCTCCCTGCCCTTTATCCTTATTTTCTTGAAATTCTTTCCCAGTTGCATTTCCTGCGTTCTCCTTTCTATCTGATATCTCCCTTTTGCAATTTCTTGTTTTCTTTCTTAACATCCCCTCTTCTCCCTCGCTGTGATTCTTTTTGTGCCTCTTTTATGTGTCCAGATTTATCATTTCGTTTTGAAAACACAACGTTTAATGTGTAATTAATCTACCAGCAGGAGGGCGGGGACACCCTGACTAAAATAACTCCCCGGGTCTCAGAGACGACAAGTTCACCAGGTGTCAGTGAAAAGTAAAATAATAAAAGTAAAAATAAAATAAATCAATATTTCAGTGACCATAATGGTTTATTCTTCTATATTATTACATCAACTCAGACTGATAATTTTAAAAGACAAGATATACTCTTCCTGGAAAAAATGCATAATGCTTGGCATAGGGGCATTCTTTAGAATTAAGGCAATGTGAAAAAGTTTGTTTACAGCCATGTTTTAGCAGTGCTTAATTTTTTAACAGACTTTAGAAATTACAATAGGTAATTTTGTGAAACTTAAACTGCGCTTTTCTTCTGGTGACTATTTGGAAAGGGTAAAAAATTCCCAAAACACTCCGCCAGAACCCCAACAAAGATTGATCAATTCAGAGAGAAGCATCATAGTGTCACGTATTTGGCACATTGCTAGGCAAATTCACAACTTGGGTTGCTGGGTTGTTTTCTTGGCTAGGCTAGGTTTCTGTCCATTACCTAGCAGGTGAGTGAGCATGAGGCCGCATATGTCATGGACATAACTGTCTTTGTTTTGTTTTGTTTTCTTTATTGTTATTTTTTGCTCTTCCCTTCGTTTTGGGCATATTTGTTGTTCTCATTAAAATTCAGAGTTTGCACTTGTTTACAATTTGTTTACTTTGTTGAATTTTAAAAACTTGATAGAAGTCAATTGAACATGTATATTTAGCCCTTTTTAGGCCAAGAAAAATAAAGATGCATTAGAAAGATGCCTTTTCTGCTTCGTAATTATTAATTGACATTTTATGATGAATAATTAATCATTTGAATAATTTTGGTATCTCTGATCTGAACACATATTTGCATATCTAATGCTTGATTTTAAATGTGTTTTTAAAAAATTCATTCTCTCAGGATGAAGAAACAAAGTCACATTTTAATGTAAAATTTCTCTTCTACACTTGTAAAAGTTTATTTATTGAGCTGTAATATTATTTCTCTATATCCATAAACTTCTTAACAATTTGTAAACCATTTATGAAGCAATCACACACAAATATGTGGCAGACTACAATTAATTAGGAAAAACAATACCCTATGTAAATCAAGTCACTTTCCTCCCCAAATCCAGAGATGTGCACTAATTATACACTATGTTTTCTTATCAGAATTTTGTCATTTAAATTTTTAGTTATGTCTATTAATTCAAGTCTAAACATGGAATTGAGGCAATTGACAAACAACTCAGGCCTGGTATTTAGGATCGTTTTTTATCTTTTACTTACTAATATATGGGCTGATTTATATTATTAAAAATAATTAAGTAAGCATATCCCTGATATTTTTATTCTCCTGTGCCAGTTAAAGTCCAAAGTATTAATATCTATTTTGAATACTAGCCCTGCAGATGACTACCTGTGTGATTATAAGCGATCTCCTATAAGCTTGTTTTATTTTTAATCTCCAATGTGGGTACACTAATAATGCCTATTCCTTGGGATTTTATTGAGAATTAAATGAAGTAATGCATAAAACTTCACTATATTGTAGCTGTATTATTATAATGAAAGCTTGAACAAATATACAGATCAACGAAAGATGGTACAAATTAATTTTGGTTATTAAAAACAACAACTATTTACAGTATCTTTTTTACTGAAAAATCAGTGCTGTGTTAGTATGTGAAGAAAGAAAATGAAAAGCATTGTAGGATTTATGGCTGGTTTATGATTCTTTCGAACTGTTCAAAGGATGCGTAGCCACAGAAGTGAAAATAAATACAGTATTTCCTTTCTGTTAGTTCAGCAGTTAATTTCGTGTATTCAATATGGTCATAATTTGGTTATAAATATTAGACTTCTTTTGAAAAGGAATTTAATCCAAATGTATGAACTTGAAGTTTCCCATGCTCTTCAGTAACATATTGTCTTTGAGTGTAAGGGTTAAATGTGCAAAAGCTCAGAAGCGGTCTTGAGTAAGACTTGTGAAAAAAAGGGCAAACTTACAAATTTGAAGACCAGGAATTTGGCTGTCAGAGCACTATTTGCTTTAAGACCATTCATAATGAACTGAGCATTCCCTTTTGGAGTTTTAGCTATCCTGGGGTTTGCGCTAATTTCAAGTACCTAGAGTGGTGGAGAAAATCAGTTTATTAAGTGGAAAATGAAATTCCCTAGTCTCTTAAATGTCCACAAGGCCAGATTTTCTTTTTGATGTAAAACTGAAAAATCAATGCAAATGCTAGGGGGAAAAACTACTGTGATGTAATCCTAACAGTGATAGTTTTTTGTTGCTCTTGTTTTCTTTAAGACTTCTCAAAACACTTATATCTGTAGTTCTTAAGGGGTCTGTTAATTGTTTCTATTCTGAAAGCATCCATTCCATGCTCCTTTTACATCAAAACTACCAAACCAGACATTTGGACATTAGCATAGGGGACTGGGTGTGACCTGTACCTTTTTTTCTCCCTCTGACAATGGGACTAGAAATGGTTTGCACCTGCAAATTGTCTAGTGACCTGGAAATTACTTCATGCTTGCTTCAAGGTCTTCTTTAATACTCTTTATTCTGTTAAAAGGCTCAAACTGTAAACTTTGTTCTGTACTCAGTTTTAATTTTGTACCATTCTAAGGGTGAGGTTTTTTTTTCAGGGTTCTTTCAGGTACTTAAATATAAAAACTTTACTCTCAAAAATTATTATCATCTCCATGGCAATCACAAATATAAAGTAATAATAGCTAAGAAAAAAACCCCTGCTTTTCTAGGCTTGGCACAATGCTAAATCCCTTCACTTATCATTTAATTCTGATAGCAGATCTGAAGGGGTTACAACTGGGTCCATTTTATTAGTTGAGAAAATTGTGGCCTAGGGAGAGTCAATGACTCTCCAGAATTCAAGCATCTGGTTCTTGGTGGGCTTTTGAATCTGCCAGGTCCACCCCCAGGGCCAACACCATATTCAAGTGACATCCAACATCTTTTTACCTTTCCCAGATGTGTTTCTGACCCACTTGTGCCCACCCGCTCTGCACATTGCTTTGTGACCCATTTCCAGGCCTCCTGGATGCTGCGGTTGGCCCTTGTTTTTCCATGTATGGCTTATTTTGCCTTTTGGACCTAACACTTAGGCTCATTTTTCCAGTTACAATATTGGCTCAAGTCCTTGAGCCAAAGTTTCTCTGGCTTTGGTGCCTCCGGCTTCGCAGATAAAGTGTATTTTCTGGTCCAGTCTCTTCTCCCAGGCACCTGACTTAGGAAAAGCTCCCATGGGAGGTTCTTGCTAGCTCAACTGGCTCCAACATTGGGCCCAGGCAGAGGATAAGTTAGTGATGAAGGAGACATCATGGCCCAGGGATGTTGTGGAATAGTTTTTATTTCTCATACAACTTCTTTTAGCACTTGTTGACTGGAAACTGGACATTAGTATATTTGACACTAGATTCTCAATGTTAGCATATTATAGTGGCAAAGATACAGGTTTTGGAATTAGATAAACTGGATGTGGCTCCCTGCTTGGGAAATACTAATTGTGTGTTGAGGACAAGTTAGTTTACCCATGTGAACCTTATTTTTAAAATAGGCAAAGGAGTCAGGAGCAGTGGCTCATGCCTGTAGTCCCAGCACATTGGAAGACCGAGGCGGGTGGATCACCAGGTGGGGAGTTCGAGACCAGCCTGGCCAGCATGATGAAACTCCGTCTCTACTAAAAATACAAAAATCAGCCAGCCCAGCGTGGTGGTACATGCCTGTAATCCTAGCTACTGGGGAGGCTGAGGCAGGAGAATCACTTGAACCCAGGAGGCGGAGGTTGCAGTGAGCCAAGATCGTGCCACTGCACTCCAGCCTGGGGAACAGAGCGAGACTCTGTCTCAAAAAAAAAAAAAAAAAAAAAGGCAAAGGAGTACCTAGATTCAAGCCAGTTGTGGTAAAGAAAATATGGCTGTATACAAAATGTCTGGCACAGGGCAGGTGTATCAAATAAATAGCAATTCCTACTACCATGAATTACCTGAAAAATACATGAAGTCAAATTATGGAAAACCAGAGTGGATGTAACATGTCTTTTAGGTGTTATTTTATTTCTGTAATGATTTTATTGCTAATTTTTTTTTTTTCTTTTTGAGACAGAGTCTCACTCTGTCACCTAGGCTGGAGTGCAGTGGTGCGGTCTCGGCTCACTTGGATCCGCCTCCCAGGTTCAAGTGATTCTCCTGCCTTAGCCTCCCGAGTAGCTGGGATTACAGGCGCCTGCCACCACACCCAACTAATTTTTTGTATTTTTAGTAGAAACGGGGTTTCACCATGTTGGCCAGGCTGGTCTCGAACTCCTGACCTCAGGTGATTCACCCACCTCGGCCTCCCAAAGTGTTGGTATTACAGGCGTGAGCCACTGCGCCCGACCAGGAATTATTTAACTGGTTTCTGCATTATACAGAAATCAATGTTTACTGATAAAGTTGGAAAAGTAATATGCTCATAGAATTTCTTAAGTTGTAGAAAACCTGGCGTGCTCATGATTATAAATATGATGTCAACAGCTGAGATGAGGACATATGCACACTTTAAAATTTGATGATATATTTTATACTTTCATTTGCAATTGTAAGGAAAAAAGCTTTTTTTCAGCGAATTCTCCCAATATGACTTGCTATAGGAGGAAGAACTCTTATAGGCAACTGAGTGTGGTCAAGAAGTGTCAAAGATCC